CCCCAAAACCCCAAAACCCCAAAACCCCAAAACCCCAAAACCCCAAAATTTATAATAATACTCATCTAAAATGAATAAAGACGAGGCAGAAAGATGCATTGAAATAGCCAAAAAGGCTATAAACAATAGTGACTACCACAAGGCCATCAGATTCCTTCAAAAAAGCAAGAAACTGCACCCTACTCCTGCAGCAGATGGGCTAATCCAGCTATGCGAAATGAACCTCCAGCACAAGCCTGCTAGTGCTCCATCTGGATCTAAATCCTCGGATGGGCCATACCAAAGGAAAACCCAACAAAAGGTCGAAACTCCCAAGAAGAACTATACTTCCGAAGAAGTCAAGCTATGTAAAGACATTATCAGGAAAACCAATTATTACGATATCCTCGGGGTTGAAAAGAAAGCTACAGAAGCAGAAATAAAGAAATAAATATAGAAAATTAGCCCTTAAATTCCATCCTGACAAAAATAACGCCCCGAAAGCTACGGATGCGTTCAAGAAGGTATCGACAGCCTACATGTGCTTAAGCGATGCTAAGAAGCGGGATATCTACGACCAGCATGGCACTGAGGATAATTTCAGACAGAACTACAGGCAGTACTTTAGAGAAGAAGAGCAATATGATATTTTTGATTTCTTCGATATCCTAAACGGAGGACCTATGTACAACCAAAGGGTTAGAAGACGTCAACAGCCAAGAAGACACAATGCTCAAGGACAAGAGAACCAAAATGGCTTCGGACAACTTCTCCCAATTTTGTTTGTCATCTTATTCATGGTTGTTGCAAATATTAGTGGGAATATTTCTGCAGGACCTAGTTACTCTTTAACAAAGACCAATGAATATAAAATTGGTGTGATTTCACAAACTCATAATGTGGAGTACTTCGTAGACTCATCCACATACGAAACCATTAATGAAAATCGAAGACAAAGAGATTCACTCGAAAGTACATTAGAAGAAGACTACTTCAGGTTAAAATCAAGAGAATGAAGTCGCAAAACAGAGAACAGAGCTTACTACATACGTCAAGCAAAGTACTACACTGAAAACAGTAGTAGGTACTCTACAAACATGAAGAAGGCTGACTCTATCGACCTATCTGCCTGTGGCATTGTCCAACAGATGAAAGAAACCTCTCAGTAAGATTAATACCTAACCCTCTAGAAGAAACAGGAGATACAACAGAAGAGCTTATTGGTAAATTTTAAATTTTAAACATAGGGGTTTTGGGGTTTTGGGGTTTTGGGGTTTTGGGG